GGCGGCGCGGCCCGCAGCCGCACTAGGAGCCGGGCCGGGCCGAGCGGAGCCGGGCGATGCGGCGGTGAGCGCGGCGGGGCCGGGCGCCGCCGCGATGCTCCGCCGCAGCCTCAGCCGCCTGGTGAGTGCGGGGCCGGGGCGCGGGCGGGCGAAGTTCGCTGTTTTTCTCCCTGTGCCGTGTGCCGGGGCCGTTCTCCCGGGGGGACTCCCGCATCCCCCTCCCCGCGGGGTCCGCCCGCGGCCCCGGCCCCGCCGCGGCGGCTCCGTCCGACCCTGCGAACCCTCCAGAAGTTGCTTTTGCTGCCAGAACCCAAATGCTGGTTTTTTCCTCCCAAAGCTGCCGGAGGGCACTGCCCCGGCCGCGTGCTCTTCCTGCCCGGGGCGGGATGCGGGCTGTGCCCCCGCCGCTCCGCCGGCTCCATCCCGAGCCCTTCCCGCTGCCACATAAGCTGCTGGGAGACTGCACCGTGACCTCACTGCTTGGCCTGGGCTCTGTAATTACTCATTTTTTCCTTTTCCGCAGCAAATGTGCGAAAAGCGGTGTTTGAAGATGGTTTCGGGCGCTGCTGTTTATCCAGCAGTGTCATTGATTGCGCAGTGCGTAGTTAGCAAAGTTCCTGGAGTTGGGGCGGTGTGGGTGCTGTCAGCCCCGAGCCCTGCGGGGCTCGCAGCCGCTGCCCGGGCGCACCCCGGGACCTGCCGGCATCCAGGGCTCTGCCCGCAGCCGCCGGGATGCGCTTTCCTCTTCGCCTTCGCTTTGCAGCGAGGTATTTGTGCCAGGTTTCCCAGGCTCGGAGCGCGAGGGACTGTAAATCGCCTTTTTAAGTCTGGAGGTAGCTCTGCGGAGCTTGGCAGGGAAGGGTTTGATTTTTGGGCTGGTTTTCTGTTCGTAGGCGGTGTTTCTGTTGCAGGCTCTGGGTTAGCCCTGTGGAGAACACACCTACCACAACCATTGTTTTGCAGCCTCGGGGACGGATAGATCAGATGGAACTCAGTGCCTGCCCTGACTTTCTGCCTTTGATGCCTTTGGAGTTCAGCTCTGCCCTAAGTGCTTCCTACCCCACCCACCCTAGTGGGAGTTTTTGTCCCAGTCATGTCGAGAGGCGTTTGTGGTTTGAGGCATCTCCGCCGAGTTCAGCTGAAAGCTTTTTTAGGTGGCCGCTTCCTGTGAGCGGGAAGCTGGAGGTGCCTGCCTGGGTTCTGCATCCAGCACCCTCGTCAGGAGCAGTCCCTGCCCTGCCCGGGGGTCCCACACCTGTGTCACCTCTGAGGGCATGGGGAGGGGGCGTTCAGTGCTGCTGGGGTGTGATGTCCCCTGAGGTGGAGAGAAAACCTCCCTGCACAGCCCAGGTGTTTCCAAAGGCTCTGTGGGGGCCGAGCTTTGCAGCAGCCCTTTGGGAGGGTAGGGGTGTGTTGTGGCTGGGGGATCAGCTCTGTTCAGGGCCAGCACACACTGCCAGGTCAGCTGCAGTGTTGCTGTGGGCTTTAGACGCTGCTTCCAGCTCGTGGCTTTGTGAGCAGCGTTTCAGCAGCAGCGAGCAGTTTATCAGGCTGGCGCAAGTGGTGTGGGTCCCCCCGTATCAGCCTTGGCTGATGGAGCAGCTCCTGCCCTGCTGCTGCAGCTCTGCCCTGTCCCCAGCCCTGCAGGGTGCCACGGTAGGCTTGGGGCAGTCCTCGCCCTCCTGCTCCACCGCAGGAGAGGGCAGCCTGTGCCAGTGTCTCTGGAACTGTCCCCCAGTGCTGTCCTGGATGGGCACTGCTGGGCTTCAGGGGGTGCTCATCCTGTGGCCCTGGCATTGCAGAAATTCACTGCAGTTATTAAAGGCTGCAGATGTTCTGACACTTAAGATCCCATTGGGCTGCTCAGACAAACACTGTAACCTCTCTGCTGTGTGGTCTCTGCCTGAGGCTCATAAATACCAACAGTTATTAAAAATCCTGTTTTCTGTTGTAACTCACAGCTTAGGCACAATGGAGGTGACTTGCCCTATCAGCGTGACTGTGGCTCTGTTTTTCCCTCCTATGAACTCTTATCCTGGATAGGGTATGAAATGGCATGATAAGAAGAGCAGGAAGGGTAGGGTGGTGCATGTGGGTCTGCATAGCTACCTGGGGGTACAGACTGATGCTCTGCAGAAACAAATTGGATTCTGAACTTTGATTTGCACCACCAAAATAATCCCTGTCAAAGGAAGAGTGGGGCTGGGATCACTGCGGGGAGGTGGGATTGCATTGCCATGGTTAATCCACTTTTAGGAGATACTGTCAACTTGAAATATAACTTTAATTCCTTTTTGGAAACAGATTCTAGCACTGGAGTCTTATTTTTAGTCTCCTGCTGCTTGTACGGCTGTTGTGGGAGGGTGCAGGAATGGAGTGGGGAAGTGTGGGGGTGGCCAGGCGAGGTTTGGGGTCACTCTGCTGGGCTCCTCACGGCGCTGGGGTGAACACTGTCCTCTTCCCAGCTGGCTGGGCAGTGCTGCTGCCTGTGTCTGCATCGCACACCGAGTGACAGCTGTGTCCTGGGCCCCAGCTCTGCACCACTGCCCTGCCGGGGCTGGGGCAGTGCCCACTCGGGCTGGAGTGAGAGATAAGTGAGGAATGCACAAAGAAGTTACTGATGCCTTGTTTTCACTTTTCCTCCCAATTTGCTTTGATTTAAGGCCAGTCTGGAAGAGAGCCCTGGGTCTGTGACCCTGCTCACGGTGCAGGCACCCCGGGGAGCTCTCCCTCCTCTTGGGGTGCCTGCTGCTGAGCCCTGGGCTGGTGCTCTCTGCTGGGTCTCCTGCCTCTGCAGTCAGTGCAGCTCCTTGCTCTGGTACTCTCCTGTTTGTGTTCAAAACCTAGCATAAGTAAGAAAACAAACAACAAACAGTCCGTAATTGGGAGCACAATTCTTCTGTTGGTGCGTTTGTGCAGAGTGTAACAATAGGACCTTAGTGGTGTTATTCCAGTTTAATTAAATGCCTCGGGGGCTGATCCTCTTTGCTGCTGGTAAATCCCTGGTGTTTGGCAGGTGCTGGGCTCCTTGTGAGCCGCTGGTTCTTAGCGCTGTGTGCCTGGTGTGGGGGAGAAGGTGCCTCTTAGGTGGGTGTCAGGGCTGTCCCTGGGCTGGAGCTGTGTGCCTCTGTGCCTGTCACAGGCTGCAGAGATGTTCTCACTGCTCCTGCTGGGGTCTGCACCCCTCTCTGCCGTGCCAGCCCTGGGGCACCCCCAGCTCGGTGGGGCAGGTCCTACCTGGAGCCCTGCAGGAGATCCCCACTGAGACCTGTTCAGGTGGCTGGAAAAGGGAAATGGCCCAAAGTCACTCTTTAGGTGGGCAGGCAATTCCCCACTGGCACTGGGAATAGGTGGGAAGGGGCAGGGGTGGATGGGGGAGCCCCTGGGGTGCACTGGGCAGTGTGGGGCTGTCCCTGCCCAGCTCGGGGTGCTGGGGGTGTGGAAGAGGTCCAAGGCTGTGGTGGAGGATGCTGATTTACATCCCCATCTTCAGGATGTGCAGCAAGTGTGTAACAAAATCTATTTTTGCACACAGAGCACATCTGTGATTTTCTTTCACACTTGGGGTTTTTTTTCCACAGAGTGTGAACCAAACATTAGTGTGTGATTGCAGTTCCTACTCTAATAATAAAGATGATTACAGTTAGGAGTTGGAAGCTGTAGGAGTTGTCTTTTCCCCTCCAGTCTAGCCATGTTAACACGTGGAGAGTGAGGCTGCATGTCAGGTACCTTGTACCTGATGCCAGCTTCTGCAGGAAGTGTTTTGCTTTCATTGATGTGACAAAAACCTGCAGGCAGCAAAGGTTGGGGCTGGGGTGTCTCTGTGACACCAGGAGGCAGTTCTGCTTGGAGAAATCCCGCACTTCAAAAGAGTATGGATTTCAGTGGAGCCACTTGAGATTTTCATGAATCTTTTTGATTTTGTGAGATGTGTTTAGTGTGATAGCAGCATTCCACGTGCTCAGGCAGTTCCCCTGTAGCAGCCACAGGGCAGCCCATGCTTGGCCACAGAGAAGTCAAGGGAGGCTCAAATAGGGAAGCTGGAACTGCAAAAAGCTTAGGGCTGCAATCCCTCATTGGGGCTCCTTCCCTGGAAAATGGGGACACAGGAGTTTCTCAGGTTCTGGGGGACATAGGGGTTTATGAAATTCCTGTAACCATTTCCTCTTTAATGTTTCCTAACTGTAGCCTTATTCCCAGAAATAGCTCAGCCATTTGGCTAAAAATAAATAAAAATCAAACAAAAAGCTTGGCCTGGGATAAGCAGCTGCATGTGTTCCTGTGTTCAGTGAAAGTTTGGGAAGTTGAGAATCGCTGTAGGGAGGGCTGGAAAGCACCAGTCAAACATTAATGATGAGTGATGCTTCTGATTAAACCTGTGGCATGCTGAAACTCTTCTGTGGAGAATAACGAGCCTTGGCTCTATTTTCTTCTTCCCTCCATGCCACTTTTGTCCCCAGCTGGTGTTTTGCTAAGAGTAATGATGATTGTCTGGGCTGTGCAGGAGAGGTTCGGAGCTGAGCTGACTGGAGCTGCAGCTGAAGACATGGCAATTTGCTTTTAATAATAAAATTTGTAAAAGCAAGCAGGACATCTATTAATAACAAGCTTTTCAGCCTTGCCTTTAATTTCATCCTGTTGCCTTTGGTTTATGTGTTTCCTTTCTGATTACAACTGCTGTGTTCTGGCTGTAGCTGTCTCTAGTGGAGAGATTTATTTTTAAGTGTTAAAAGCAAAACTAATGGAGAGCATTCAGAGTGTCTAAGTCAGACGAAACCTTCACTCCCAAATTAGTTTTTAGCAATGCAGGTTTGGTCCCTGTGAGCATCTTCCTCCCGTGGCACCATGCTTGCATCTCTTGTCCCAAGTGTGTAATTCCTTCCATTGTGGGACTGTGCTCCCTTGGGGGGTTTAAACCTTTGGCAGAAAATGCTGGGCTGGCCATGTGGGGAGCATCTCAGTGGCTGAGATGTGCCTGCAGAGGAGCTGGCATTGCAGGGAGCAGGGAGTCACCGGGCAGGGTGCCTGGAAGGGGGGATTTTCCAGGCATCTTGGGCACGGGGTGACCGAGTGTGCTGTTAACCCGTTTGCCTTTCCCTGAAAACATCTGCTGGGGGATTT